AGACATCACACTGTGGAACATGACTTTTAGTAGTAACATATGAGTGATATTATGCTACAATGAGACTAATAACAATTTAAATGACAGCGTTCATTAGCGTTACACTCCATAAAAGGAATAACAAAAAACTTCCTGTTCAATTCTTTCTGTATCATTGGTTCATTCGGATTTTTTTTATGTTCGTTTTATTTATATTTTCGATTGCTATTTATAGTCCCTTTATATATATATACATATTTCTCTATTCATATCGATTATAACACACTAAAACGATAAACAAAATAGTGTATAACTGTTTACACCTGAAGAAGAAAGGTCCACCTTTCGAAAGCGCTCGGGTTATAGGATTATTGTCGTTTTGTATTAAAACTTCTTGAACCTACGTGTTTATCTGACATCATGATAACAACAATCTATTATAATAGTATGTAAATCCTTGAAAGAGCTATGATTAGAAGTCACGTTATTGTTTAGATTTTAAACTTATATTTAAGAGTTAAAAAGAAAATATCCGTCCACTGCTTTCTTCTTTGTATGCTATATTTCAGCACATATATATAACTACCATCAATAAGTGACATTTTTCAACTGTTATATAGCTTATGTCATTTGTCCTGTACTTTTTAATTTATAATAAATCATCAGACTATTACGTTTGCTTGGGCTTTCACAAAGAAATAGCTGAAAAGGATAGTCTAATTTCTGATTTCATGACTTATAAGTTTGTTTGTCTTTCTGTTTATTCGTGAAGTATAAACTTTTTTTTTACTCTAAGAAAGTCAAATTAGCATTTTCGTAAAACAAAATTAATTCACGCAAAATATTAGTTTACTCCATTTTAGATCTTGTTGAACTCATTGAGAGATTCGAATAGATGTATAGAGATCTTGCAATGATGTCAAAAAGTCAATTGATCAGTAGTTTACACCGCCATATTAAACATCAAATTTTTACATTAGTCTTATGTGAAAAATGACACGTTTGGCTTCTAATATCGTGTTATCTGAAGCTGTAAATCATCTCAGCAATGTGTATAGAGAAAGATAAATCAAGAAACCGAAGAGTCGTAGAGCTTCGGATTCGTATCTTTTGTCAAAAGCGATGTTTACGCCATTGGCAGCACGCAAAACTTTACCGAATGTTGTTAAAAGAAAATGTTTGATTTCCAATATGGCGGCGTTGATTGTTTGTTTGTTTG